GTAATTTTCAAAACTTATAATATTAAGTCAAAATTTACAATTGCGAGGAATGTCTTAAGTTCGTGAATTCAAATCTAAACTTGTCAGTCAATTTTAATAATTTATAAATTGCTTAATAAAGAAGCTTTCGAACTAGTTTTCAATTTAGGTAAATAATCAAATTATAACAGAAATGTGTCAAAGATTTACAAGACAATTTGATTAACAAAGAAAAAAATTAAAGAATCTGTATATAATTAATTTATAAATCATAGAACTTGAATCATATTAGTAGATTTTTGGAAAAATTTCAAACTTTTCATAAATAAATTAATTTATATATGTATATGAACAAAATAGATTAATGCGGAATATTATTTATTTTTGAACAATAATTCTTAAAATATGTTAAAAAACCAATTTATTTTACATGAATAATAAAATATGGACGTATACATATATACCCATATGTATAATGTTATATATAAAATGAAAATAAATTGTATGTATAGATATCCCGATGTGGGACAGAATTACTAAATATATTTGTATAAAGATATTAATTTTAATAGTGCATCACATATAATTATGAAATTATTTCAGAATACATGCATAGTTCTATTATAGGAAAATAAATTTTTTTTTTGTTGTTGTTCAAGTTATTCACATTATTGTTATTATTATTAAAGACTGTCGAAAAGATTCCAACCAATCAAATTGCATTTTATAAATAATATTATGAAAAAATAAGAACGAAAAAAACAAAATTGGAAAAATAAGATTTGTTGGATTTTTAATGGGCGACGAAGATATTTTTTTTTTATATAAAATACAATATAAAAAAAAAAAATTTGAAAATTGTACATTGATGTATAAAACATGAAATATTTTTTATGATTATATAGTTTTAAATTTTGCTGATATTTGTGTATTCGATACAAATACAATAATAATAAGAAATAAAAAATATGTTAGCCAACAACTATTTACAAAAGATTTCACAATTACTGAGTGCATTATTCAACCATTTAAGAAAATAAATTATAAGATTTTAGCACATAAAAATGGTTTATTGCTCTTTTAGAACGAAAAAAATAAAACTAAAATCAGAAAAAGAAAAAAACATGAAATTCTTTTATTCCTCAAATCGGGAAGCAAAATTCTTTAAAAATTATAAGAAAAAAAATATAAGTTCGCAGAAGTAAAGGACATAATTTTATTTATTTAGTCCTTCCTCTCTACTTACAACAACATATATTATGTACATATCAATGTACTATATGTATATGAACCTATAATACATTAGAAAAAAAAAATTGTCATAATATTCTAAAGTTCTTAGAGTACAATTTATATACAGGGTGACTCAGAAAGGTAACAACAACTACATATACCATTGATTAAAAGATCAAAAATGGGTAAAACGTTTGTTCAGAACTAGGACTCAAATGTCAAGTGTTTACGAATTACAGGGATTTTAATGAATTTTCACAAAATTTTTATTTGCTCAAATTTTTGGCTTATAATTTCAGTTCTGAAAAAGATGAGGGTTTCAAAAAAACAATTTTTGAAAGGCATGTTATAGGGTTTAAAATCAACATGTTGATTTTGTATTTTGTGTACTTCCGGATTACGAAACATTCAAACTTGAAGCTTTCAGAAAAAATCAAGCTTTTCCTCTGTTTTATTTTTGTAGTTTCATCTAATCCGATTAATTTCGTGCGGAGTTTTTTGTAATTTTCAAATATTTTTGCTCAGCTCCTGACTATTAATTTAAGTTCTCAACGTAAATCTTCTATAATGCAGAAGATATAGCACAAAAACCATTCTAATCTCAACATTTCAAAGGCCTTAGTAAAATGTAGAAACTTAAAAAACTGTCACAATTTTTGGTTTTGTAGTGATATTATGTGCTGTAATTATTAACTATTTATAATTGTTTTTGTTTGAAGCTCCTATCTTTTTCAAAACGAAAATTATAAGCAAAAAGAATAAGCAGAAGTTTCGTGAAAATTCGTTAAAATTTCTGTGACTCGAAAGCCCTTGAGATTTGGCACTTAGTCCGGAACAAAAGTTTTACCCATATTTGGCCCTCTAATGAATGATGTACATATGTTGATGTACACTTTTCTGAATCACCCTGTATATCCATATATTTATTATATATGTACATGTTTTGCAAATGTATACTTGTAGGCTAAAAAAAAAACCCACATCCATATACAATTACAGGGCGATTCTGTGAATCGTACTTATAATTCGTGGAATTAAGAATGAATAAAACATTTTGTTTACAAATAGATTTTGAAAATTTTAATAAATACCTGGCTCATATTTTCAGAAAATAAAAATATTTACGTGTTAAAATTTTTAATATACCTAAAACTATTTTCTTTCCAAAAGAAATAGGTCTTTTATACAACAGGTTTTAAAAAATTGTTTAGAAAGGCATTAAAGGTTTCGCAATTTTGTGTTGCATTTGCTTTTAAGATGGTTGGGGCTAAAAGTTCTGAAAAATTGAGAAATTTCTTCTCGATTTCAGAAATTCACCAGGAATGCAATTTCAAAAATTAATGTAAAGTACAAATATTGTAAATTTAGTGAAATAAAGAGCTTCAAAACTCTAATTCTAAGCAAAAATTTCAACCATTTTTTGATTATAATACTCGTACTTGTACTCTTTTACGAAATCACCCTAGATATACATTTTTTCCGCCGATTATCTTTACAAATATTCTATAATCGAGCATAAACATACCCATATATAATTTTATTGTATTTTAATATCTTTTCAAATATAAAAATTGAATATTTTTTTTTTATTTTATTCTGTTAAACATTTATTGTATACTCGTATAATATATAAAATTACAATTTTTTTTTTCTTTAAAATAAATATACATAAATCCATGTGCATATATACATATTCGTATATTTAGGACATAAATTTAATATAGACCCAGGGAAAACTGATTTTTTATTAGTTTCGTTAAAACGCTTTTGAAATCAGCATTGTCCATTTTACATCCATTAAACTGGTAAAACGTTTAATATAAATGTATATATGGTAATGAAAGATACAAGAGAAGACTAAGTAGTGTGATGAATACGAGAATAAGATTTTTTTTTTATTTTAATCCGTATAATTTAAAATGAGAAAAAATAGTTAGTAAATTGCACTCATTGCTCCTTTTAAAATCATTTTTAACTAATACACAATTTATGGAAAATTTCTTTATTCTAAAAATAAAGCACAATTTACTACACGTTCTCATTGCTTTTCCTTCATCTTTTAATATAAGGATTTTACACCGCAGTAATAATTTGATTCATCTTTGTTTTTTCTTTTCTCATTTTTTTATGTTTTTGTTTTCTCAAGTAAAACTACTAGTTATTCTATATTCAATAGAAAGAATTTTATATAAAATAAGAAGAAAGATATAAAAATTACTTAGAAGGTTTTTTTTTTACTATAAAATATAATAATGAGAAAATTAGAAAAAAAAAATAATAAAAATAAAAAAAAAAGGATAAAAATTATTTATGATATTGTAATTACTTTTCCTCCTCCTGTTCTACAAATATATAAGAAGGTGATTAAATACTAAGTAATTAAATAAGCTAGGAAAATTTTATGCTATGCTGAAAATGAAGAAAATTTTCTAATAATCTACAACCAAACTAAAAATTTTTTTGATAAAATGCAGGATATTTGGATTAAGAATTGTGATTAAAATAACAAAAAAAAATATTCGTAGTAATTATAATTTATCGCATCCCTGCAGCAAAGGTGTATATACTCCAAAAATGGGATTTTTAGGGTTTCAATATAATTAAAAACTTCAAATATTAATTTATCAGTTGTATAAAATGCGTTGAGAGAAACAACCAGACATGCAGGGCGACTATGCTCAGAATATTCCGGTCATATGTGAAAACAGTTCTGATATATGGTACATAAAAAGATAACGGACAGAGGCTCAAAATAGTATGCTAAATATTCTGGGCAAAAACTATTACTAATGAAGAGCTCTGGATAATAATAGGCGAGAAGCTTGTCGTCAAAAAAATACGAAGGAAAAACACTTTAAGGAAACCCATATTACCCGAATTACCTTAAAGCATAGGGCTAGACTCGAAATACCCTCAAATGTGCCATATCGTAATTATAAAAAACTAAAAAAAGAGGCATGTTTTTAACATCTTTGCGAACAACTGGCTCTATTTCAAACCAGAAATTTCGGCCAAGCGAAAACGACAGAGCTATAGAATTAGCATAGAAAACTAAATAACTTCAATTTACAAAGATTCCTTTGGAAAACTGATTGCCTTAGATGGGTTACCAATAATCGTTGAATACAACAATGAAGTGTTTCTCTTAGTAGCAAAATTAGTGCAATACTACTAATTAGATGTTACACTAATGATTACTATATGATATAGATCCTGCCTTCAAACATTCAAGATCTATACTACTCTAAAAGTTTTATATTTATTTATAAAAATATTCAGTTTTTACAACACGCAATATATAGGCAATCCAAATAAAAAGTGTCGTTCTCATTCGAATCCATAATATTATAATCGAGAAAAACTATATTGATTGTTAACGTTAATATACACATTATTTACAAGAATTTTATAAAAATTTCAATCTTGCTTATCTATATTAATAAATTTTTTCCAATTTTATTGTCTTTTTTTTCATATAATATAAAATACAACTCTACCTTTAATTCTCTTGTGGCTTTGAGCGTCTTGTGACACAAAATTCAATTTCATGGTTTAATTGAAAAATATCAGAAAAGAAATATAAAAATTCTTTAACTAAAAACACAAGTCTTGAATAAAATAGTTTTAACAAGAAAAAAAAAATAATGAGAATTTTTTGTTTTTAATATTATAAAAACCACCATCTTATATATTTAGAAAAAAAAATCACTACCAAGAATAGAATACAAAAAAAACAATAGGAAAAAATGACAAAAAAAAGAAAAATTTTTTTTTTTGTTTTGCCTTACCTTCTGTGGGGGATGAAAATCTTCCATTTCTATTAATTAAGTCATGCTGTTGTTCTAATAATGAATTAATTGAAAGTCTGTGGAGAATGTCTGCACCAGTAAGTGATCGAACATCAGAACTTTGGCAATCATTTTGATTGAACTAAAAATATACAAATAAAATGAAAAAGTTTATTTTTTATATATTATTATAAAAAAAAAAATTAAAGATTTATTTTTGCTTAATATTTGCTTAATAACGTTTTTATATTAAGTAATTTTTTTAAATATCTTAGAAAATACAGAAAAATTCAATATGATTTTGGATGAGTGGCGAATTTTTTAATAAAACACGCTTCAATGAACGTTTCAGGTTTATTGCTTATAGAAAATTTCTGAATAAACAACCCAAGTTACCCTTACAAATTGAATTTATTTTGAAAAGCTTTATGTGAATCTATCCAGAACATTTAATACTGAGTTTTTGGGTGTTAAATGAATTTTATATGAAAATTGTAAAAACATACTTTATTCAATTAGCGAAGTTGTTCAAAAATTTTTAAGGATTTTTATATTATTATTACAACAAAATAATCAGGGCTTGTAAGTTTAACATAGATAACGAATGTGACAGTTTGGTGTTATGAATGGCGAATTCGCCAGTTACTTTGCGAATTTCACAAAATCTACAGAATGAAAATATGCTTTGTCAAGTGATCAATTTTGTCAAAACTAGAAAATTAAATGTATTTTGACTACTATTTCGTAAAAAAAAAATTGCGAATATATCTATTCGCCATACATAGTACAAAATGTTCATAAATTCACAAACTCAAAAGAAAAACAGAAATTAGCGGCGAATTCGAAATAAAAAACAAGCCATACTACAATTAATGTGAAATTTTATGATGCAAGTATTATATGTTCTCCTATAAGTATGCAATAAATTATTAACATGTACACATTTCATTGAAATACCCGTAAATATTTTTTTTACATTAACAACTATTTAAAAATTTTTAATTGTTACATTTTTTTTTTATTCGTTCCCTATTTCCGTCAAATTAATTTGAGTTCTATACAAAATTGCCCCAGTTTTTCATTAAAAAAATATTCTTAAATATTTTAATTTTTACATTCTATATATTTACAAAAAGTTAATGATAATTTATATAAAAGTGAATCACATATAAAATTAGTCGTGATTGTTACGATGAAATGAGGGTCAAGTAGGTTTTATTTTCACTAGAATATTATATACAGTGTATAGTGATGATAATATTGTCAATAATTATAATGAGAGAAAGAGAACAAAATACACATAAGTGACAATTACCTGTTCTATTCAAATTGAATTGCAATTGTAAAACAAAAAAAAAAAACAAATAAAAACAAAATATTTTTTTTTTTATATTTAATTTCCATATGACATACGAAGGTAAAAATCACTATACAATCGAAAGTATTTACAATTTACACATATAGAATATTATTTGTAATGTGTAAAAATTAAGAAGATTTGATTTCTGTTATTTCTCCTTCAATAAAAAAATATTGATTTTCAGGAGCACAAAAACAAAATGAACAAGAAAGCAGTAATGATTCTAAATAGAATACAATACCTTTCTAGTTAATTTCCTTGAATTATAAACATGCATTTGAAAAATATTAAAAAAAATAATGGTAAAAATTAAAAACAATAGAATCTAAATATATGCACTCATTTCCCCCCTTGTACAAATTTACAACCTACTCTTATATTATACTGAAAGAGATGACCTTAATTCAAGTCAATGATTAAGAACTAAAAAATTAAGTGTGCATTGAAAATATTAATATGAATTTGTTTTTTATTTTTATTTTTAACATGCAAATTCATAGTGCAATTTTTAACATTTTATTTTTAAATTTATTTACAAAAAAAAAAAAAGATGATGAAAATTTTCACAAGAAAAATAAATAGGAAAAATTTGTTGCATTTAATGTAAAATTATTGAATTTAAATAAATTATGTTTTGTATATTTTGGAAGTTATTTAATAATTTTTATATTTGCAGATAACAAAATGTGAATTACAATAATTTCCGATTGACTACTTATCCTGTTGATAAAATTTGGGCAGCTACGAAAGTACCAAATTTTTAATTGATCCTGTTATAATTGAGCTATAACAAACAATTATGTATAATATTTTGTAAACCCATACACTTGACATACAAAAAATTATTCTAATTCAAAAAAAAAATTCGAACAATAACAAAACACAAAGACTATATTGAAAGGGTGAACATTAATTGGACTATATTTGTAGACACGATATTCCTGAAACTTTTGGAAATATTTTGTGGAGAAATAAAAGTAATGCAAAAGTCTTTCATTTTGGAAAAGAAAAGGTACATGTTAATAAAGCACAATACTGCGTAATAAAGATTAAAAAAGTTTGTTTTTGCTTAAAAAGTACTTTGTTTTAGTTAATTTTCTAAGGTTTTGACCGCAGTTTTCGCTTGATAGACATGTTATTTCTAAAATTTTTATGTTATATCAAATTGAAGGGCAGAATATGGGGCTCCTTTTCCTGTGAAAAAAACGATATGTTAATATTATGGAATTATCAGTAAATGACGGTTAAACGAAAATGTAGAAAACAAATTTTTAACAAATTTTGACTTTGCACTTGAATATCTCTGAAACTAAAAACATCTTTGCAACCGCTAGTAAACCATTAGAATGAGGATTTCACTAGCTTTAAAATGTGTACAAGATTGGATTTAGCTGTTACATTTCCTGAGTTATAAATAAAAATGTGAAAATCAGACGGTTTTTGCATGTTTCAACTTTGAGGCGCCATATCTCGAGAACAAGGGCCAAAAAAGAAAAATGTCATTAGGTGTTTTTTGTTCGTCTGCATGCATTCTATCACCTTGCTTCGGGAATACCACTGAGTCCCGGAAACCCTGTATATTATCATTGTGTATATAATGTATAGTCCTATACAGAAGACAATTTTTATAATTAAACAACAAACAACTTTTTTGAGGGTCGCTAGTAATTATAAATTTTTTAATTTAAAACAGCGCTTACTCAAAAAAAGTAGTTATATTGTGTAATTAGAAGTTGCCTTCTGTATAGCATACTATAAAATTATGTATGCATGTATGCATGAATGTGACATTAAATGTCAAATTTCTGTGTTTTATTTAACGCTTTCTTATTGTCATAATATCTTCTTTACACAGAATTTTCAATTATTTCTCAAAAATCTTTTTATGTATTTTCGGGAAAAAGATGCCGAAATATTGAAAATAATCGGATTGCAACTTTGAATTCGCATATAAAACGGGATGTTTTGATCGCATATTTCCTTGACATATTAAGAAGACGCTAAAGCTGGTTTTCTAATTAAATTCATAATATTTAGTATAGTGATTAATCTATAAAACACAACACAAAAATTTAAAAATGGGGGAGGTTTTTAATGAAATTCATTAACCTTATCCTTTTTGAATGAATAAATCTAATTTTATACATAGATGGTCATCAAAAGATCATTTTATTTAACATACTTTTTTGTGTTTTTAAATCTTAAACATTCTTAAATTTTGTTTTTATTTTACGTTACTTTCAACATATGCTGTATAGGCTGAACGTGTGCCTATAAAAGCTAAGCACATAAAGGTTAAAATTTTGTGTCTGCTCAAAAATAAAATTTCGTAACAGTTAGCTTCGTATAACTATAAATTTGATTTATTTGACAAAGTAAATCAATTTATAGTTATAGTTAAAGCGTGCTTATTTGACTATAAAAAAAAAACAAATATATAGGGGAAAAATAGTGATCGCGTTATTTTGCGGAAATTTTATTTTTAACAGTTAATTTTTTAAATGTATTTAATTGTACTATATGTTTTCTTCTGCTTCTTTCTAACTAGAATGTCGGAAGTAGAAGCAAAAGTTCGTTTTAATTAATTTTTAACGAGCGCTATAAACTCATTTATAAAAAAAAAATATTGCAATTGTAAATTATGAATTTTTGTATATGTTTTCATATACCATGAAGAATTATTTTTTACTCTTTATAAAATCAAAATATTAAATCAAATTTAACAGTAAGATGGTGGTGTACAAAAAGGTATTGAAGCGTTTATTTCTTACATTAACTTTTTATTTAATTCTTTTCTTTTTTCTATAATGCAAAATAATCTCTTCTAAAATATTTGTTATTTTTATATGTGCTCATAGAAAGAAAATAAATTTGTGCAAATACTGTAATTTAATTAGATCACGATCAATGTTTCAATGTTATGAAGATTTACAATATATATATACATATATATATATATGTATATATACATTATATATATATATATAATGTGAATGTGTATACAAAATTTGTTCATTTTAACACAATATACTAGCTAATAAAAAGTACAGAGTAATTAACAGACTTCTTGGTCTATAACATTTCATTCATTAATTAAAGCGTGCGTGACATTACGGATATATGGGGTGCATATAAAATTACAAAAAAAAAGAAAATAATCTGCCTTAATTCAGTATATTTTTATAGTATAGTTCTGTGAGCTATATAATATTTAATATTATTTATACATGATACACCTATAAATTAATTGACGCTTCTTTAAGGTGCTATGAGCTTATTTGCAACATGATCAATGCAAATTATTAAGCATTCAGTTTATCAAATGCCATACAATCTAATATACAACTTATACAAAATAATATAGTTCATAAATAATATTAAAATTAGAGATTTAGTAAGAAAATTATGATTGTAATCGTCTTTCACGAAATTTCACGGTTAATAATTCACCCATATATTTAAGAAAAAAAAAATTAAAAAAAAAAAAACCGTTATATTTATTAAATTATTAATTTATAACTGTTTATTTTCATATTTAACAGTTTGATAATTAGAAACGATGAAAAATGGTGAACGTATTCTTATTTTTCAATTATAGTACATATATGTGTGTAATGTATGTATACTTTTCTTCAATTTTCATTATTTTATCTATGTTAAAAATACTAAAGTTTTCCATAAATATTTGAAAATTTTAAGATGTTGTAGATTTTGTATGCTTACATTTCTAAAAAATAACTTTAACATTACAGGAAATTTTGTTTGAATCAAAAAGCGTTGAA